ACTCCACCTCCACTCATCTTGCATCCTCTTCATCCTAAAGTAACATTAAACATCCCAGTCAGTCACTCGAAGCCTGCTCTTCCCACACACCTCCAAAATTCAACCGAATCTTGTCTGGCCCGGCCGCTCTGCCCCTATTCATCTTACGCATAACTCCCACGACCTCCTCAACCTTGATGCGCCTACAGTACCCAAAGTCACGGTGACTCTCGGAATGCTCCAATTCACCTAGCACAATATCCCGATCCCCTTCTTCATTCAGAAGTTTATGAAAGTAAGCATGCCATCTCCTCTTAATCTAGGCCTCTCCCATCAATACTCTACCGTCCTCATCTTTGATGCACCTCATTTGGTCCAAATCCCTCGCCTTGCCAGCCAGAATAACTTCTTCTCCCCGCCCTTGTACCCTAGATCCTTGTACATACGACCGAAAGCTACAGTCTTAGCCTCCGTGACCGCCAGCTTAGCCTTCTTCCTAGATACCTTATACCTCTCCTTGCACGCTCTCCTCTCCTTCTCACCCGTTCTCCCTACTAACTTCAGGTACGTTGCCTTCTTCGCTTCCATTTTACTTTGAACCACTTCATTCCACCACCAGCCTCCTTTGTGCCCGACAGAGTAGCCCGTCGAGACCCCTAACACTTCTCTCGCAGCCTCCCTTATACAGTCTTAGCGAATAAATATTATTAATAAGACATAATGAAAATAAACATAATGCTCGCGTCCCCAATGCTCCTGTTGGCTCCCATAGCCGGTAATCGCCCCTCGAACTCCTGTGCTTTATCCTTAGTCAAGGCTCCCACCTGATCCTCGGTCGTCCTCGGACAGACCTTTTCTTCCTCTTTAACAAAATATCGACGTCCATCACCAAGAGCCTATGCTACATCGCGAGAATCTCATCCGGGATAACCTTGCAATCCTTGCACAACCCTCTGTCACACCTCCTGAGGAGGAGATAGTGAATCTGAGTCTTCACCACCGCATTTTGAAAAGTAACCAAATGTTCCTCCCTCTTCGAAAAACTAGAGTTCGCAATCACCAACTCACAAGCCTTAGCGAATAAATATTATTAATAAGACATAATGAAAATAAACATAATCTAAAATTACTAAGTTGCTAAAATAAGTACGACTAATAAGTATTGTTATTTACATGACTAAACACTAAAAAAATAAATTATGCATTTTACCTAAACCATGAAAAAACTAAGAAAATAGATATCTAACACTATTGTTATTCCTAATACAATTGCATTGAATGTCTTTTGTCAGTATTAATATTGATTTGATTTTGGTATGAGATTTATTTGAGTTACTAACATTTATGGACTATAAAACTTATTGGAGCATTCAAAAATTATAAGTCCAAACTTGAAATAATATGTTAAAGATAAATTATGAAATCTTTTAAAAAAATATTTATAAACTATAATACAATAATTATTTTATGTATTAAATATATTTAAAACTTCTAGACATGTAATGTCGGGTTGATGTGGTTTTGGTCTGACTTTCTTTAATTAAAACCAAATCAAATCAATTATGGTCGGGTTCTTTTCCCATACTAAACCAAACCATAGTTAAGTTTTTTCTCGGATTATCAATTTGATGCAGTTTGTTGGTTTTCTTTGTACACCCCTAGTCACTACAAGAGTTTTTTTCACCCTTAGGTCAGGAACCTAAGACCTCTGATTTATGGGGGAGAAATACTATCCATCCCTTTATAATACTTAATGGATATTTATTTATTATTTTAAGCATCTGTGTAAAGTCCAAGCACTACCCAATAATAAAAAATGGTCAGAAATAGCAGCTTCGCGTAATGATCCTTTTCTTTGTTTGTCACAATGTGCGATTGAAAGAGTGTCTTTCTATTATTGGATTAATTTATTAGATACATTTCTACATATTTTTAATTTATTTTAATTATGAAAATTACTCCTATACTAATTTGTGTGGTTTTAATCAAATAAGTAAATTTTATTTGAAAAAAAATAAAAAATCATAGTCAAATTTAATCATCACACTCAAATTAAATTCAGCTACTCCCTCCGGTCTATAATAAGTGACCAATTTGCTTTGAGCATGCCCATTAAGAAAATACTAAATTCTATACAAAAATACCTAGTATGACTAAACTACCCTTAATTAAATATTTAATGTGAGGAGTAAGAATTTTTTTTAGGGATATGTACATAAGGGTAATTTTGTAAAAACAATATGGATACTTATTTTGGACCAAAATAAAAAAGCAAATTGATCACTTATTGTAGACCGGAGGGAGTATCTTTTTAGGACATAGGAAACATTATCAGTGGAAATATTATATTATATTATATTATATCCATAAGACTTTAGCAAATCCTATAAAAAGTCTAAACATGTACTTCCTCCGGTCCACAATAAGTGACCAATTTGCTTTGGGCGCACCTAGTAAGGAAATACTAAATTCTAGACGAAAATAGTTAGCTGATTAAACTACCTTTCATTAAATGTTGCACCATAGTTATAGTAGCATTTACTTCTCTTCTCAAATGTAAGGAGTAAATGACTTTTTAGGGATACGTGCATAGGGTAATTTTGGAAAAACAACTTGAATTTTTTCTTGATTATATAAATAGACACTTATTTTGGACCAAAACAAAAAAAGCAAATTGGTCACTTATTGTGGACCGGAGGGAGTAATTGATACTTTTAGAAGACGCACTTAACTAACCCAAGACACGTGGCATAACTCGACTTTGCTTTTCCCAAAACCAAAAGTCTAGGAATTAAGCTCCAAATTAAAGATCTAGATTTTGGTTACTTTTTTCCCCAAAAAAAAAATTTAAAAATATTTTTTGTTCATGTAATTTAATTAGTTTTTGGGTGAAATTTTTTCTTTTACTCGTAAAATTTAACTTTTTTCCAAGTAAAATATATATCTAAACATAAATTTAAATTTCAAACCTATTTTTCAACATAACTTTAAAAAAATTTTGTTTTCAAATTTTAACCAAATCTATGTCCTAATTACGTCTCCGGTCTTAAGTATTGTAAAATACTTGTCGAGAAAAGTCTGGGATGAAGCTAAGAGCCGCCACTAAGAAAAAAATCTTAAAATATATAAATAGCTAAGAGCCGCCACATAATATATGTAACCTGTCAGCGTAATCTACTGAATTAATTTTCTCGATAAGAAAGATCGGACTCGAGCTCCTGTTTGCCCATAGATTTTGGCTCTATTTTTTAAATTTTTTTTCTTGAAAATATTGTTTGTTTACGGAATAGGGTTATGTTTTCAAAAAATTTCAAGTTCCCAAAAGCTGTATGTCCAAACACAATTTTTTTTTTAAAATTTCAATCAAATCTATGTCCAAATGCTATCCGAGCCTCGATTATTCGACATTTGATTTGGTCAGAAAGCCAGTCCTCTCAACTAGTAAAATAGACATCAAGCCACGTCTACATCACCTTCCTTACCAATAAATACCTTGCACTTCACCACTTTACTACTACATCAAAAATGAGGCTTAGAGAATTCACAGCTCTTTCTTCTCTACTATTTTCTCTCCTACTGCTTTCTGCCTCGGCAGAACAATGTGGTTCCCAGGCGGGAGGTGCACTTTGTCCGTCGGGTCTCTGCTGCAGTAAATTTGGTTGGTGTGGTGACACCAATGACTATTGTGCCCCTGGCAATTGCCAGAGCCAATGCCGTGGTGGCCCCACCCCACCCGGTGGTGGTGACCTCGGCAGTATCATCTCAAGTTCCATGTTTGATCAGATGCTTAAGCATCGCAACGATAATGCATGCCAAGGAAAGGGATTCTACAGTTACAATGCCTTTATCAATGCTGCTAGGTCTTTTCCTGGCTTTGGTACCAGTGGCGATACTACTGCCCGTAAAAGAGAAATCGCTGCTTTCTTTGCTCAAACCTCCCATGAAACTACCGGTATGTCTAGTTATGTTGAAATGTATGACTGTCTAATTCAAAAGTTTAATCTATTAGAGAGCATACTTTTGTTTAATTATACTGGTCTATTCTAGTTTCATACAAACACATAGAGATTCTTTTATAATGACTGGCGCTGAGACTTGAATTCAGGATCTCTATCTACTCATATTGGAGTATCCAATTTTGAGATATCACAATGCAATCTTAAATTTCGATGTTTTTTATAAACTGACACGTTCAATAATTGACCATGTAACCCTTGACAGGAGGATGGGCAACAGCACCAGATGGTCCATATGCATGGGGTTATTGCTGGCTTAGAGAACAAGGTAGCCCCGGTGACTACTGTACACCAAGTGGTCAGTGGCCTTGTGCTCCTGGTCGGAAATATTTCGGACGAGGCCCCATCCAAATTTCACAGTAAGCAACTCCCTCTTACCATAATTTTAGCATAGTCATTGCCCTACACTAAAATAGCTAAAATGATTCAGAACTTGCCATCGAAATCATAGCTCATCTTAGTTATTAACTTCACAATTAAATATTTATATATATATATATATATTTAATAAATTTTCTAATAAAAATAAAGGGTCGAACTCATACCTAATAATCTAGCTCTGCACTGGCTAATTACGTGTACTTTTTACATAAATACAGCAACTATAACTACGGACCTTGTGGAAGAGCCATAGGAGTGGACCTCCTAAACAATCCTGATTTAGTGGCCACAGATGCAGTCATCTCATTTAAGTCGGCTCTCTGGTTTTGGATGACTCCTCAATCACCAAAACCTTCTTGCCACGATGTCATCATCGGAAGATGGCAACCATCATCTGCTGACCGAGCAGCCAATCGTGTCCCTGGATTTGGTGTCATCACGAACATCATCAATGGTGGCTTGGAATGTGGTCGTGGCACTGACTCAAGGGTCCAGGATCGCATTGGGTTTTACAGGAGGTATTGCAGTATTCTTGGAGTTAGTCCTGGTGACAATCTTGATTGCGGCAACCAGAGGTCTTTTGGAAATGGACTTTTAGTCGATACTATGTAATTTCATGATCTGTTTTCTCGTATTCCTTTGCAATGCAGGAGCCAGCGCTATGAATAAAGTTAAAGTGTGAATGTGTGATTGTGATCTGATGGGATCGTGACTATTATCGTTTATAATAAACAAAGACTTTGTCCACAATAGATGTGTTAATGAGCATTACAGTATATGGTGTAATTCCGAACCAGATAAATAAATAACTAACCACCCGCGCTATTTCATTATTTAGAAAACCGAGATCTTTATTTGAGTGAATGAAAATCTTCATAACAGATACATAGACATACTACAACAACAACATACCCAATATAATCCCACATAGTGGGGTCTGGGGAGGGTAGTTTGTATGCAGACCTTACCCGTACCTTGTGAAAATAGAGAGGTTTCCAAGAGACCCTTGACTCAAGAAAGCACAAGCACCACATTAATGAAAAGAAAAACAAGAAGGAACAACACCGATAAGCCCTGTAAAAGCGGCATAAATAACAAGAAGAGTAAGATGACCAAAATGCAAGAAACGATAGGTAGTCATAGAAACCTAATACCAAGAGAAAGCGAGAGTACGTACTAATACTGTCGATATGAACAATATATACTACCTAACCTACTACATAGACATACTAATCAGTCAAAAAAAAATTCGAACCTCAAAATTTAAGCATTCCAGCTGCAGCCACCGTCTCTGATTTTGAGTCTTGAATTATGGGGACCAAACTGTATCATCATACTAGGGATAAATGCTATCAACTGCACAAGATATAAATGGAAAATCATTATTAAGGTTGCGCAATTACTTTTAGGTAAACGAAAAGGAACAGAAAAAAGAAAAACAAGAAGGTGGATATATCATGTATGTTATTCCAAAGATAGTAACTTTTCAATTTAGTCTGTATATCATATTCTTTAGTATAGTGCTTACCCAAGCAAGGCCGACGCAGAACAAGTTGAATCCCGGATAATTGAAGGGAGCCCTCTCTGATAAAAATAAGTCTACAGGGAAAGAAAAACACAGTTAATTAATTTGACATCAGACAAACCAACAGAGTCAGCTATGTCAAACCAACAGAGTCAGTGTGCTATTAGTACATGGGCGAAGCCACACTTTGTTTAGGGTGGTCAATTGACCACCCTTTGCCGGAAAATTACATTGCGTATATATGAAAAATATTAAGTTTTAGAGGTACATAACATATATTGAACACCCTTTGTCTGTTTTGTTTTTTACTTATTTCAAGTTTGAACACCCTTGAGTAAATTCCTGGCTTCGCCACTGTATTATTAATACAGCTAATTGCAGCACACAAAATTTAAAGGGGTCAGATATAAACAGATTAATTTCTCTTTATGTCACATAAGCTGCTCCTTGTATGACTTGTTCTAGCTTGTTAAAAGAGAAGGTTTATTTGACAATAATTAAGATACAAAACTTTGATATTTAAACTTTCAACTTACCTGTTAGAGGAGTATATATTAATGGAGAAAGAATATTGCCGAATGAGCTTATGCCTGCAATGCACCCTTGAGCAATTCCCTGTTATGTCAACAGTGACAGATGGCACTCTTTAGAAAATACTGATCCAACACACAAGCGAAAATTAAGGTAAACGAAAAACGACAGCTCAGTGCATAAAGTATTCCGCGTTTACGCATGTTCCGGGAAAGGGCCGCATCCTAAGGCGGTATGACGTAACAGTCTACCCTGATGCAAGCATCAATGGCTGATTCCACGGCTTAAACCCGTGACCTATAGGTCACACAGAGACAACTTTACCGTTGCGCCAAGGCTCCCCTTCTAAGGTAAACGATCATAATAAATGCATTGTTATTAGAAATATTGAAAGTTCACCTGTTCATTTGGCCCAACTTGTTTTGAAACAATGCTTTGTAACTACAATTTATAAACACTTTGTCAGATCTAATAATCGATACAACTTATCATGAGCGTTTAACTTTCTGAAAGTAACAGTGCAAACTCACAGCCGGTCTTGTTAGGAAGGCAATGATAGGCAACAAATTAGCAACATAAGGAACCTGAGACCATGAAATGTGGGAAAATAAAAACATCAATGTCTTGACATTTGAAATGTACTAAACAGAAATCAAACAATGTGTTTGTCTGTTCAGAAGCTCGAGCTTACCCAGACTGCCCATGCAATGCTATCAATTAGCATCTGTAGAGCAATAAAAACTAACTCAATACATTATTATTAGTGCGCGCGCGTTACACAGAGGTAATTGAAATTAGATAAATTCCAAGAAGCACATACATTTATGAATCCAGCAATGAGGGCTAAGGAGAGAACTGCCTCCTCTCCGATAATCGGAGCCAACCGAGGCATCAAGAATAACTGCATCAAAATTTAACAAGAGGTAACACACAATATTTGGAAAATAAGGGTTAATTTGCACTGAACTTTATCCACTATAATAGCAAGTTACAAAACTTTATTTGTCACATTAAAGAATAACAATTTTTTTTTTCCATTATAACGGTAAATCCACTAAGCTTTTCCCACAACGGTAGTGTAGTCACTATTTTTTGTCAATTCAAAGTAACTAAACTCTACCCATATTTATAATAGTAAGTCACTAAATTATCCACTATAACAACAAGACCTATTACTTGTGGTGACTTTAATATTATATTGGATAAAGTTATGTTACTTTTATAGTAGGTAAAGTTCATTTCATTTAATATTACACAAAAATATTTAGTGATCACTTTGGAGTTATATTGAGTAAAGTCCTGTTACTTTAATATGTCAAAAAGTAGTTTTATGACTTTATTGTTATAGCGAATAATAAAATTTAGTGAACATACGTGAAATTAAGTCCAAAAATATGTTAGAGATTTCACAGAGCCCATAATGTTAGTAGAGACATGTGGGACAGGATGTACTAGCGGAGCCAAAATTTTCATTAAGGGGTGTGAAAATATAAAGAAGTAAACACATGAAGAAGTCAAGAAGAGTCATAATAAAAAATATTATTGAGCTACTATCCACAGTGTAAGTTTCTGGAAGGGTGTCAGCTGACATCCCTTGGGATAAGGTGGCTCCACCACTCGATGTACCACTTCTCCGAGCTATAATAGTTGTGTTATGTACTATGTAAAGAAAACTTATATACTTGAAAACGGACCTGGCCAATTGCTGCTCCACTGTAGCCAATAAGCATTAAAACAGCAAAGTTATCTTTGTTGTATTGAAGTCGAGCCTTTAAGAAATACTACAAGATAAACAGTGAAAAAATAAAACTTCAAAAGTTATGAGATCATCATTTTATGTGCAATGACACTTCAGGGAGCTATAGAATGTGTACCAAAAATGGAGTTTGTCCTCCACCTTCCCCAAGACCATTCAAGAAAGCAATGACTGTTGCTAGCGAAAGAGTTACGCTGCCACAAAAATTAAAAGGATGATGATTAGAACTTGTAATTAATATTTGCTTTCACGGGGTTATATTCTAATTTGCTCGAACTCTACAAAAATGTTGCCATACGTTTGATGTCAAATAACGGTAGTCTAATTAATTAGCCATGTATTTGACGTCAAATTATTCAACCAAATGATAATATACAATATCTTACCTGCTCCTGAGCAAGCAAAAAATATCCTTGAGTGGTAGGACTTTCTTAAAGCTTTGTGGTACTATTTTTGATGAGTCATTACTTCCAGATTGAGAGCATTCTGCACTGCTCTCCCCTAATATGGGTTGATTTAGAGCATCATCACTCCGAAAATGGTTGCTTGTCTCCTCTAGAAATGTTTTCATGTATATTGCTGCAACCATTGAAGAAATAGCTGCCACCTTCATTATAGAAAAAAAATACAAACTAAGAAAAACAAATTACGTGTTTATAGAGGCGGAGCAAGGATTTGAAATTCATGAGTTCTGAATTTGTCAAGGGAACTCATAGCTTGTCTTAGTTACTGGTTCGCAATTAAATATTTATATAAATTTAATAAATTTCTCAATACAAATACGATATTTAAGCAAAAGTTACTGGATTCGACCAAACTCACACCTAATAGGCTAGCTCCACCTTTGATTATTTCAAGAAGAATTATTCGGCTATTTTTTTTTTAACTTTAATTTCTCATTTTATCTTTTAACATCATGCCAGAGGATAGGAAACATACAATTGGCACCTAAAAAATCTTTCTTTCTTTAATTTTGTGTCTTATTAAATACCTTATACAAAATGAAAGAAAGAGGATAAATAAAGTTAAAAGAAAAAGCTACTCTATAAATTGCAAAGGCGAGGAAAAAAAAAAAAAAACGGGGGGGGGGGGGGGGGGGGGGGTCTAACGTTAACCGAAGAAAGGATGTGAGCAGTGGAGAGGAAGCGAGCAGCCATTGTACCAGAAAGAGATGCAACTGAGCCTATGCCGGCAACAGCTCCAATTGCAGAAACACGTTTTTCTTCTGATATGCTAGCTGCCTAGAAAATCCTGCATTAGAAAATTAAAAGGAAAAGGAAGAGGGAAGTTGTTGTACTACATTAAATTAGGATTGTGAAAAGTTAATAATAGTAACAAATTACCGCATAAGCAACGGAAAGGCACTCAATTCCATTGTCACTGACCATGCCAGTGAAGGTCTTTATTGCATAGTAAGCATAGAAATAGTTTGTTGACCTTCCAATTGCCAATATTACTGCAAAAATGTTTCGTTAATATGGAGATAGCTTGACTGTTGCTCGAAGGCACCCTTTTTGAGTGAGCCGAAGACAATCATTAATTACCTGATGGAACAATGGCGGCAGCCACCGGGACTGTGAGCAAAGCTTTCCTTCCATATATATCTGATAAATGTCCTAGCAATGGCAACATCAGCATTGATCCCAGTCCTAAGATCTGAAATCAGTAGAATCACTATAGTCAGATAATGCATGCCTAGTGTTTGTCTAAATGACTAAATAAGCGAATAGGTTCTAAACTTGATTTTTACGAAGTATAATTGTGTAAAACGAATGGAGGAGAAAAGATAGAGGTAGTGGTACAGACAGCCTGCTGGAAACCGGAAAGATAAATGGCAAGAGAGCACTCGTCTTGAGCAGGGCAGAGTGCGCCAACGGCGATATCAGTTATAGCAGGAGGGATCACATTCAGCGCAAAATTTGCTAGAAACACTGTCACAAACAGGTGCTTCAAGTCGGCCAATTTATCCATTTGATTGTTCTTGTTGGATTGAGAAGACTAATTGGAGGTGTGAAGAAAGAAAGAAACGAAAGCAGACAACAAGTTCTGCTTTCCTTTGAAAACGAAGAAATTCGAAACCAGTTGCATTATAAATTGGTAGGCCATGCTTTCATAAGTGGTGATAAAAAATGGGGAATGCTACTAGTATCGTAGCACATGCAGCCTGTTACGCGGCGCCTTCCTGAGATTCCTTGGAAGGGCGACGTAAGGCTAGGTAACTGATGTCAGTGCAGTTGTTGTCCGCCAACTGAGGTCCCCTCTGTACGCTAGACGAGATTGTCAGTGCCGTACGGAAAAACCAATGTCAAGAGCAATTGAGAGAACAGAAATGAGAATTCAGAATGAAAGAAAGCTTGATTGCATTAATGAAAGCTATTACAGAAAAGCAACGCGGTGTCGAGGGGGAGAGACACCAGTACAGAAAATTGCTTGCTTGCTAGAAAGTTTTGATTGCTTGATCCCCCCTAATAGTACTTAAAAAAAATAATCCAAAGTTACAAGACTAGACTTGACTAAGCTAGAGAAATATAATGGAAGTACCTGAAATAAAACTACTCTATATTTACAATGAAAATGACTTAGTTTTCTATAAGGCAGCAGCAGGTCCGTTGTCAGCAGCAGTGTCTTTGGCATCACGGTCTGCGCGCGCGGCATTGTCTGCGCGCACGGCGCTGTTGGCTTCTGCCTGCGGCTTGGCGCTGGCGAGGGATATCAGTGGGGTGACAGAGGCACCAGCGCGCTTGTCACTTGGCGCGGCCAAGACCACGGGGCCGTCCGTGGCGCTAGGCATTAGGAGGCTTGCTAGGACGCCACGGGGCGCGCCCAAGGGGTCATGGGGCATGGCTGGAAAGCCGCCCATGACATTCTCCCCCACCTGAGTTGGCGACGTCCTCGGCGCCTTACTTGCAAAATAATCTTCAATGAGGCTCTTGTAGGCTTTGAGGTTTGTTCCCCTCTCCCAAGTATTCTCTTCTGCATCACAGCCCTGCCATTTCACCAAAACTCTTGGTGATCTTTCCTTGAGGCATGAATCACTCTGTCATCAAGGATAGCTTCAACACGCCTTTTCCCGGTTGAATTGGGACCTCGAATACTGGGTATTGTGAGCTGGCTCCTTGAAGGATCCTCCGTGTCTTCCCGAAAAGGTTTCAGGAGACTGANTTTCTGTATTTCAGAATTACTGACCAACGTTGGTCGGTAATTTTGGTCGGTACATTAAGTTTTGACCGTTTGACCAAATACCGACCAACTTTGGTCGGTTTTTAAAAAAAAAATTAAATTCTTTTCTTTGTTTTTATTTCTTAAGATATTATAAGCTATAAAAAAAATATTATTATAAACTATAAAAAAATTATTATTAACTATAAATATTTATTTTATTTAACTATACAATTATTATAAATAATTATAAACTATAAGCATAATCTTTACAAAAAATTATATTAACTAGGTAATTACTTTTAATAGATTATAATAGCATCTATCTAAGTAAATTTTCTAAGTTATATTTAAGTATATGAGTAATTTCACACACACACACACTATATTGTAATTGATGATCGATCTTATACATTACTACGTACGAATAATTAATCAATTGATAAACCAATATAATATTATTCTATTTAGGTTGAGACGTTTTGTTTATTATATATTAATCGATATAGGTCAAAAAGTTTTATTTTATTCATCGATGCATCTAAATAAGTTATAAGTCGATGAATCAATTTACAAGTCTATCAATCCCTAAAAGAACCCGATCTTGTGTTCCTAGCGTTTCGTGTTCTTATATATATACGGCTATCAAAGTAAGTATATATATATATATATATATATATATGTATATATACACACACACACACACACACTTCATTGTAATACTTTAATATAGCTTGTTATAGTATATGTTAGTGTGTGTATATATATAACACATACAAAGTTCGTTCTGCTACTTTAACTACATACATAGCATGTTATAGTATATGTTAGTGTATTCATTATTCGTATTACAAAAGAGTTAACGGATTACATTCATTCATCACTAATAATGCATGACATAGATTAATCGATATAGGTCGAGACGTTTTATTTTTACTATTAATAGATATAGGTCGACCCACAGGGTCGGGTTCTTTTAGGGATTGATAGACTTGTGAAGATCCTAATTAGCATATATTATTTACCATCAAATATATCTGTTTGTACATTGATTCATCGACTTATAACTTACTCAGATGCATCGTTGAATATTAAAAACAAAACGTTTGACCTATATCTCTCTCTCTCTCTCTCTCTCTCTCTCTCTCTCTATATATATATATATATATATATATATGTATGTATGTATGTATAACACACGCTTCGTTGTACTACTTTAACTACATATATAGCATGTTATAGTATATGTATAGCATACGTTAATGTATTCATTATTTGTATTACAAACGTGTTAACGGATTACATTTATATTATTTAGATAGTAAATATAAAAGTGATTCATACTTTTGACCAATGTTGACCTAATAACCGACCAACTTTTGTCGGTTATTTTCCAGAAATTAAAATATACCGACCAAAGTTGGTCGGTAAATGCTTCCCCTGAATTAACCGGCCAACTTTGGTCGGTAATTTTAAATAAAATTTCTTTAACTTTTATAAAATATTTAAATAATAATATAACTATTAAAATTTTAAATATTAGGTCCACATTACCGACCAAAGTTGGTCGGTAATGTGAAAGTTTCTTTGACTAAGCAAGTCTGACCAGCTCGGTCAACTTGTTGACCACATTATCGACCAACTTTGGTTGGTTTTTTTAAAAATAAATGTAAAATATTTTTCTCCCAGTTTCCGTCCAACTTTGGTCATTTTTTTGACCGACCAACGTTGGTCGAAAAATTTTGATCGGTATTTACTGGATTTCTAGTAGTGATAATTTTATTGTTGCTCCAAGAATTCCTTCCCATAATTAGGAAAAGAAAAATAATTAAAATTGTTATAGATAAGGAAAGAGCTTTAAAATTTAGGTTCAAGTGGTTAAAAACTATGGGTTTTTTTTTGTGTGTACAGTCAGACATCTCTATAACTGCATCCTTATATAACAGTACTTCTCTATAAAAGCCAAAAAAATACGGAACCAAATCTCACGTTCTATTATAACATATGTTTTCTATAACAACAATTCGCTATAACATTCAAAAATGTCTGGAACAAATGATGTTGTTATAGAGATGTTTGACTGTAGCAAAAATTAAATGGCCTTTATTTTAAAATTTAAAGTTGAGATCTATAGTTAAGGATGAAAGGATCTTTATTATTTTACCATATTGAGGTGATTAAACTACAGTGACTGCAACTTTTTTTTTGATTAACGATATTTTATATATATAGAGTACTAAGCTATTACAAGTGATGTATCATGCGTTATGTTACGCGGCGCCTTCCTGAGATTCCTTGGAAGGGCGACGTAAGGCTAGGCAACTGATGTCAGTGCAGTTGCTGTCCGCCAACTGAGGTCCCCTCCGTACGCTAGACGAGATTGTCAGTGCCGTACGGGAAAACCAATGTCAAGAGCAATTGAGAGAACATAAATGAGAATTCAGAATGAAAGAAAGCTTGATTGCATTAATGAAAGCTATTACAGAAAAGCAACGCGGTGTCGAGGGGGAGAGACACCAGTACAGAGAATTGCTTGCTTGCTAGAAAGTTTTGATTGCTTGATCCCCCCTAATAGTACTTAAAAAAAATAATCCAAAGTTACAAGACTAGACTTGACTAAGCTAGAGAAACATAATGGAAGTACCTGAAATAAAACTACTCTATATTTACAATGAAAATGACTTAGTTTTCTATAAGGTAACAGCAGGTCCGTTGTCAGCAGCAGTGTCTTTGGCATCACGATCTGCGCGCGCGGCGTTGTCTGCATGCGCGGCGCTGTTGGCTTCTGCCTGCGGCTTGGAGCTCGCGAGGGATATCGGTGGGGCGACAGAGGCACCTGCGCGCTTTTCACTTGGCGCGGCCAGGACCACGGGGCCGTCCGTGGCGCTAGGCATTAGGAGGTTTGCTAGGACGCCACGGGGCGCGCCCAAGGGGTCATGGGGCATGGCTGGAAAGCCGCCCATGACATCCAAACGTCTTAAACAAATACGTCGGCAGCCCCTTAAACTTGTATCTGCTTCTCACTTTACCACTTATTTTTTAGTTCGTTCAATATAGCCACTTCAACCAATCTTGTGTCACCTAAACACTAAAATTCCACGAGGCACATCATGTGTGAATCACATATAACGAGCATGTGAATGTAAAAAAAATATGGACTATTACAACGGTAAAAATCCAAAACCCACATTATATTAACCCCTTTTCCCCTTTCTTCTTATTCTCCATGACCTAATTCCTCCATAATTTGTTAGGCGTCTCTTCTTCAACCGAATTCCTCTGCCAAAATTGTACTTTTTTTCAATTTGAAAGACCCCCGTCCTCCTTCTTCGATTTTCAGTTGAAGCTATTGTGGGGCCATAAAAAAATGACTAATGAATAATAGGCATGTCTTCGGCATGACCGTTCCTCTTTTTTGGCATTTTAGGATCAAAACACTAAAATTCGGATCGATTTTTAAATTTTCGTGTGCTATAGTCCACACCATCTGCATGAATCCGGCTATCGGATCCGAATCATCTGAAATTTTGCGGGGCCATCACAAATGATCTAATGAACAATAGTCATGGCTTCGGCATGACCGTTCCTCGTTTTTTGGCATTTTAGGACCAAAAGTGGAATTCGCATTTTCTTGTGTTATACTCTACGCCATCTGCATGAATCCAGGCTAACGAATCCGAATCACCTAAAATTTTACGGGACCATAAAAATGACCTAATGAACCATAGTCAAGGCTTCGACATAATTGTTCCTCTTTTTTGGCGTTTTAGGGCTAAAAAACTTGAATTCGAGCCGATTTTGAAAATTTCGTG